ATATATATATATATATATATATATATATATATATATATTACCCAACCAAGGACTAGAACTTTCTACAAACTACGAGATGTTATGATTTAACAATAAACACTTAAAGCAATATGAAAAATTTGGAAGATTCCAGAAACATGACGTCAATTCACAGCAATTGAACTACACAACAAGCGAGTTGTAAAGAGCTATGTAAGCAAACCTGCAATGAATTATCACTTCTAAAAATACTAAATTTAACACTTGTGCTTTATAACTATCAAATTCATAACTTTCATATTGAACATATGAAACAGTTGTGTATATCTAATACTCTTACCTATAAATCCAGATTATATAACCATTGGGAAAGATTTGAACTATAGGCTGTCAATACAGTAATGCATCTTGTGTAATGCAGTAAATTTTTTGTTGTTTGAATAATAAATGTCTTGTGGGATTATAAACATATTTAAATGATCTGTATTTGTTTACAAGTACATATAATCAAAGTTTATATCATTTTACTATTGTGCTCACAGTTGAAGTTCAATTGTACACATAATTAACTTATTGTCTTCACCCTTGTCTTGAAAGTTTTAAACATTATTGTCTTTCTTAGTTTTAATTTGATATTTTTGAAAGATTACTGACTCGACATTGTGACATATTGTGAACAGTTTGAAAATGTCTACAGCTGAAGGAAGGTAAGAAGTACACTAAAAAATGCTACTGCAACATATACTTCACTTTTCAAAGCTAGAAAAACAATAAGTTTTAAGTATTCCAAATTTTGCTTTTCTTTTTAAATGGGATGAGTTTTTTAGTATAATGCTATGATCCTAAATATCCTAAATCCAATCAAGGTTGTATGATCAATTTATTCCTAGGTATTACTTTCTGTAGTTATTACCATTCACCAAAAATGAACATTTTCCAACACTGAAAATATATTTTTCTGATAGATACTTACTTACTTCTCACATAATTAATAGCTTTTCTCGATTTGTGATGTCCTTTATATGCATACTTTTTGCTCACTACTAGCCTTGAGGCTACCACCTAACATCACATGTTTACAGGAGGTATAGCTGCAATGTAGCATGGAAATAAACTTGCAACAACCCTCCACCAATAGGAGTGTGACAAACCCACCTAGTTTAGCTGACTCCCTCTGTACTGTAGAGCACAATCATCACTTCGAGATTAGACAAAAAAAGACAAACATCAGAAGTAGGGAGGGTGGATGAGAGGAGTGAGGGTGTCTATCAGAAATGCATTTTCAGTGTTGGGGAATGTTAACTTCCAATACAATATCTTACCTCCTCTCACATAATAGCTAGAATCTCGCATTGAAATGGTGGAGGGACTGGTACAAAATTTCCTTAGATAAGTACACTTCAGAAGGCACTAGAACTCTATGACTACTGGCTACTAATTTTCTTAGTAGGTAACATCACTCTTGTCATATTTCATTCCATATATAAAACTAGTGGATGAAATCGTTCAAAATTTGACAAAAACTTTCCTAAAAGTATTCAGTTTCAGAAAAATATAACATCTAATTTCGATTTTTTATACCATTTTTAGTAAAAAATATTTTATTTAATGCACTTATTTGCTCTTGCACTTTGAATGTTTCACCTGCAAGGTGATTTTCATATAAAGCTGCCTTCTTTCTGCAAAAATGTTTTCACATGCCACAAGCCTTGAACTCCCATGTACTCCATGATTAACAAGGTTAATTGCATCTGGCATATAAATCATCATGTGACAACCCTCCACTAATAGGAGTGCAACACACCCTCCTGATTCGATGACGAGGAACCCACTTTGAGACTAATAATGGGCTGGAGACGGCTTGAATGGGTAATGAAG